TGCTACCGTAGCAATTACGCATGTTTGGTTGCAAATACTTACCCTCCATATTTGCTACGGTAGCAAATACTCACTTTCGGTAACAAATACCCACCCCTCCGTATTTGCTACCGTAGCAAATACCTACCAATGTAGCAAATACCTACCTGGTAAGTAATTGCTACCGTAGCAAATACGTAGTTAGCGTAGCAAATACCCACGCCTTTTTCACTCTCTCTCTCTCTCTGTCTCTCTCTCTCTCACCCACCCACAGCACAAAACAGATAGCTGCCAACAGTACATGTACGTTTCTTAAACAGGACACAATTTTACTAAACTGGAAGAGAAGAAAAGCCCCTACAATATTAATAGTTAAGTAGGTTAAAAAAAGGTGGCCAGGTCCTTATAAGACTATTAGGCAACAGAAAGCAGGGAAAAGACAACAACTGGAATCGACGGAAGACTAAGCGAACTCTTGATTCATATTTAATTGAATTGTAAGCTCGATTACATGACGCACAAAGTGGAAAGAGATCACTTCGTTTACGCTCTCACAATTAAACTGATCCACAAACAGATTTCAAGCGTAAAACCAACACACTAGAACACAACACATTACAATGAAAATACGTAAAAACATATTGTTATTACCAAATCTCCGAAGAAAGCATGGCCAAAGTCTCCATGACAAAACGTGCTCGAGAATGGCTTTACTTGAGCATGGAATACCTCCTTGTTGTTTTGGCCAACATCTTGTTAGCATCAGAGTAAGGAGATCACCACATTTTGAGGCTTGAGGTGAGTCAAGCCCAATTTCAGAAAGGTTCTTGAAAACTATTTCACCTTCATTTCCCCTCTAAAATAAGAAAAACGTTCTTTGACACAGTGTGTTCTACCATTGCAAAACAGATCAACAGTGTGCAGGTGGATATTACGTACATCAAAGTAGGCGACCATTCAAACAACGATTGCACACATATAAAGAGTTTTAATAATCCATTACATCATTATCAGAATTTTGCTATATGATGTAATTTTTGGCAGTTCTTTTAGTATTCCACAACCAATTAGCGGAGAAAGGGAAAATAAATAAACTAAGCGACACTTACAATGTAGGTAAGCAGTTGAGACCTAGCTCAACTAAAAAATACAACGAAGCAAATGAATTTAAACATTTCAAAACAACTACACGACCTTTGAGTTTCGAAAACATCTTTTTGCTACTACCAGTTCGAAGATGTTTACAATATTGTGACAAAAAGATTGCATTTGAATACCTGAAGCATGCTTTCAACTTTTCTGAATGTTACTTCTGACACCAAGTCTTGAACATGGTTATGCTGTGTTGTCATGTTAGTTTTAGTGAGGATTTGAACCAAATCATTGCAATCACACTAGAACAAAACGTGATAAAATTAAGACAATTAAAAAGTTATTCTCAGGAACACTTCATCTTTTAGAACTAGATATAATGCAAGACATTCACTTCCATTTTACTAGTCTGCAGATTACGACTGAGGCACAAAAGAAGGGGAGCAGTGTATTGTCTGACTAATGAATTTTGCTATGAAAAGCACTACAGTTGACAAAACCGTAGAACATAAAGGGGCGACCCATGATCACACAACGGCATAAATTAGCTAGAGTTCTCTCAAAACGTGCCATTGCGTGAAGAAACTTCTTCTTTTGTCCCACACGCAGTTCATCAACGTATTGGTAACAGGCTTCCCAGGAAACACGCTGTACATGAAATTAACATATGCATATTGACGGTTGCAAAAAATCTTTCTTAAACAAAACATGTTTTCAAGATAATCTGATTTGATTTCAAACAACAAGGAATGGAGATAAGAGGATGTCTTACAAATTTAATATGAAAAGTCTCTCAAAGAGATTTTCCCATACCTCTTCCAAACGAATTTTCAATTTCTCTGACACAAGGTTTCTCCAAATGTCTGCACATTCCTTGTTTGCCCAGTCCAGACAGAGCAATTTGGTCCAAATCTAAGAATAAATTTAAGTTACATACACATTTTGTCCTTTCCAAGTTGATAATATTAACGATGAAAGGACAAAAATGTCTAATTACCTTTAATAACATAATCACTGCCTTAATTCCCCTCTAAACAAATTGCCTTCTCAACAAATATCAGTATGTGTGGTGAACAAACAATTAAATGTAAATATAAGTAGTAATTCTAACATTTTTCGAAATGGTTTGGACGCAAATAAATTTGCTACTTCATTAATTAAGGCAACGCTTTCAATAAAGACTTCGCACCTGCCTGAACACTGAGGTTATTCTGTTGTAAATTGCTAGTGCAAGCTAGACTGCTAGCAGTTTTCAAAAATTAGCCCCTAGCTTAGAGTAAGTTATGAGCCTCTGTTATCAATTATTGCATATGCTGCATCAGACCATCCAAAACCCTCAAAAACGTCAAAGCAGCATGTTTTGATTTGCATTAGAATATACCGTAATCGTGTAAATATAGTTGTATGATTACTGTTGTAAATAGTTGTTACTGTCCAACTGCAGCGAATACCGTCCAAATACGGCACAACTGGTAAAAATATACAGTAATACTACACACCAAACATCTAATAAGATATAGTATTACTGCTGTAAATTGGGTAAGTAGACGTACCAGTGTTGTAAGTAGTGTCAATCGCAATTTAAGTGAAAAAAAAAAAAAAAAAAATTAAATGAATTAATGTTGAAATCTTGCGCCAAAATTCAGGAGAATTTGTCACCCATGATATTATCTAAATAATACAGAATATCTGACTAATGCCGTCTGCCAACAACCCAATAATTTATTTCAATAAATTAAAATCTTTTCCGTTTGTTACAAAAAAAATGTACCGTAACGTCGTCGTTTGATGGCTCATGTTGGCTATGATTGCTAATGCCTCAAAGTTTCAAAACGACAGCTGAACAATGGTAATTAAATAATCAAAATAAAATATGTGTACCTCCAGCTCTTTTTCCGTTTCATCTTTACTGTACCACGGAATCTTACTGCCGAAAAAAACAAACTTTTCTAACCACTTCTTTACAACGTCAAAACTCTCTGCCACCATTTGCTTCATTTTTTCAGTCAGTCGCTTTTCTTCTGGCTCAGGCACAGTTGAATTATCTAGCACTGAGACCCATACTTCAATGCTACCTAAACAGTCACACAGCAGCTTAAAATTGCGATCAGAAGAAACAGCCTTCAGAATGTTCAAACAAGAGATGACACAGAGAAGTGCTTCTTGGCTGAAAGTGATGTGATCCTCAGCGGCCACAAATCTAATAAATAAATTGGAATAAAACAGCATTAGCACAAAGTTCGTAAATTAAGCAAATGTATAGTATTTCTAGGGTAGGATATGGCAAACTACGTACTCTGAAGCGGGTTGTTTTGTTCCAGAAAAAGATGAAAATCAAATGGAAATAAGTTACATCCACTTTTTTTAGCACCAGCAAAATCCGGCTTTTAAAGCACACACAACATTGTGCCAAAAAGCATTGTGTGTATAACGTAGTGGAAGTGCGCTGTCTACAGTGTTTCATCAATGCCATATCCTTAGAACTCTCATCGACATTGCTTGCCTTTGCGGGTCTTCAATGCCCGAAGCGGGGGGACTCTCATATAAAAATGACGGGCGTGCTCGTCGTACCTTTTAGGGGCTTAAAACGCGGTTTTGATACCTCTTAGGCTGTTTAGCATCAAACGGTCCACAACAGCAGCTTTTGTGGTACCTTTTAGAGTCTTGAGTCGAATAAATATGACAAAAGATAATGTGTTACGTAAGAATCGTTACCTCTTAGGGAAGAAAAAAATTTCAAGCCACGCCCACAAAACAGGATCTTGGTACCTCTTAGGGGTTCTTTTCAAAATTTCCGACGAGCAACCCGGTCTTTTTTATATGGGAGTTCCCCCGGCTTCAATGAAGATATGAGGCACAACAGGCCAAAACTGTCTATTGATAATATCCCTGGTTGTCTATTAATTGACATTGTCATAATGTATACTTTTACGCTTCTTTTCCAAAACATAGTTAATAGAGGGGAATGGTTATGAAACCCAACAAAGTTCTTTGTTGTATGTTTTTGTTTGCTTTTTTGGCCTTGACCTTGCACCAAACACAAAAGTTGTTTACTCCGTACTGAGGAGCTAACCAATAGATGCCAAGATTTAAAAATCCTGGCATCTTTGTTTGCTCCTTTGTCCAAAACAACAACATCCTCATTATTACCATAATCAAGGTGAATACATGTGGTCAACTGTATCAGATTATGGATTGCATTTGCATGATCATTTTTATTTTATGCAGAACTCTGTCACGAATGTCCAGAAAGGACGCATTTTACTTTTGTTTGCAAGTATAGGCATATATGTATAACTTTGTAAGATACCCACGAAAACTGGCGTCCAATCTAAATATTTATGTATTAGATGGTATATAGTATGGTAAGATATAAAAATAGATCCCTACTCTTTCGCTTTCATTTCACTGGTTGTCTTGGCATCCTTTTGAATTACACTTAAGGCGGTGGCAACTGCATCCCTCTAGTCATAAAAACAGATTGATAGAGCAATGAACTGACAGGCATTCTGTAAACAGTATTCAATATAAAGTATTTAAGAAGCCCTTCTTGTGACAAAACAACTCACCCCAATGCAAAGCTGCGTACAAATTGATTTTCTTTCTTAAACTATTGTTAACCCGGTCACCAACACGCCGCAAAAATCTAGCCATATTAATTGGCTGACTGCCAATTATTATGGCAATTTGGCAATTGGGTTCTTTAAAGAAGAAAATGATTGACTGAGCTTTTGCAATCAGGCCCAAATAAAATAACCGTATTAACGAGGACTAGCTGTAAAACAATTAGGTTCCACTGTACCACTTTTGTACATAATGTTTTGCAATCAGGTTTATTGTTTACTGTATATCTTCTCCCTTAATCTAACCTTCAATTAAATAGATTGCAATAAATTAAATCAGTAAACCCTGAAAGAGAGAAGGAAAAAAGCTACGCCACATATAAAAGATATATAACAAGAGTCACATTTGCCAATCTCTCTAAGCCACTCACAATATATGTTTGCGCACTAGTTCCAAGTAAAAACAGGTATCTTATAAGCCTTGGGTAGTTTACACAAATACAAAGAAACCCAAAATGTACCTCTTCTTTTAGAATGTAACTCTTTTCTGATAAATATCTAGCAAGGGTAGTGTATATTTCCACAGGTGCGAACTGTCCAGAAGTAGCGATTCTCCCATATTGTTGTAAAGGAACTACAAGAAGGAATGTCCTTCTGGAGAGAGGGTCCAGCTCGAACAAAGGAGCCAGCACATTCAGCAACAAGGAAGGACAGCTGAGACAACATTAAAAGAAAATGAAATTAAGTTTATTATCACAAAAATTGAATTGAACCTCTGAAAAACCCTCACTTCTCCTAATAAAGTGACCATCACCACTGTCTTCTGTTAGATGGTTGTTTCAAATTTTCTATAGCTTTTAACCTCCAGTAAGGGAACAATTGGTAAGGTATGTGAAAATATATTCACTGCCTTTGTGCTGAAATTATGTGGCAATACAACTGTAATGAGACTTTTTTCTAACAACCCTGATATACTGAGTTGACCACGTCACCATTAATTCAGCATGACACCCTTAATAATCGCTGTAACTTGAAATTGTAGGCAATGAAATGTCTGACAATTGGCAGATGTGATCTGATCTAGCAGTACTCTATGGAAGCTGACCTTATGTCACGAATACTGAAAGATGTATAACTCACATAAATGAACCTCTTTGTGTACAATGAGAATGAATGTTAAATAAATTTTAGTACCTTTTTATCATAAAATGCTCAAATACATTATCTCTACCTGTGCTCTGTAAAAGTCCTTTCTCTGACAGATTTTGTGTCAAATCCATTTGCTCCCCACCATGTATCATCCTTATCTTTAGGTTTCTCCATGAGCAACAGAGAATTGCCAAAAGGCTGTGAAACCTGGGTCAGGAAGTGAACCAATGGTACAGCAAACAGCCAGTCATGAACATTGTGATAATTCTTGGCCACATGTCTGCAAATAGCTTGAATAGCTCCTCCAAGGTTCCTAAATAATAAATTATCATCACTCTTCAGGCAAAGGTATAACTTTCATGCAAACAGAGATAAATGAATCAATGCAATGATCATACGAAATAAGGACCAATTTGTTTATTACATCAAAATTAGCATGGGAGCAATACCATTTCTCTTTTTCATTCCTTGTAGATAATTCAACCTAAGTTTCTAAAATGTATCAATTATTCATGAACCCAGGACTGGGGAAGGGGAAGGGTACTCCCTTATATGGGCTACATATGAGCGGCGCCAAAGGGTATGGTTTTTCAGCCGTTATATTCATAAAATAGGGTTAGCTGATTTTGGCCATTTTGGTCATAAATAGGGTATGGTTTTTGCACTCTAGCCTTGATATGGATATGTTTTTAAGACGAACCCACTCTTTCTTCATTATCAAAAAGAAAATCAACAAAAGCCCTTCACAAATTATGTTTAAGGTAATTTAACATTGGTCTGAACTAGGAAATTAATTGTAAAGTTAACAGGGTTTTAATTGAAGGGTCAGGTCATAAATAGGGTTTTGAATTTTTGGTCAGGTCATAAATAGGGAAGGGAATATTGCAGATTTTGGTCATAAATAGGGTAAGCGTTTTGGGAAGCAGGCTGCACACCCCCACCCAGTTTTTCTGGGAGTACATGCCCCAGGCCGGGACCCAGGATCAGTTGCCGTCTGTGAGCCCAAATCTTGAGCAAAGTGTGTAAGTTATAAATTTAACAAAAAAGAACTCACTGCCACTGTTCACTTGGAAAATGCTTCAGAAGCCTTTCAAAGCTAGTACATGTATGGTCTTCTTGATCTGGACGCAGAACCAAAGAGGAAAAGAGCTTTCCATATTCTTGAGGATCAAGATGCACTTTGTGTACATAAATAGTATATGCAATTGCTACTGACGACACCAAGGGAAGAATGCTGTTCTTTTTGTCTTGATCTTCATCTGATTGAGGTAGAGAATTCTTCTCAATCTTTTCCTTAAAAAAGTCCCTCAAAATCTACAATGGAAAACAAAGAAATCAGTGTTAAGGGCATGCATGTGAATAATTCTTGCTTTGCACTGTCACGCAATCCTGACACAATAAAAAAATTATTCGAAAACCATTCCATGGATAAAGCTGAGAAATTGTGATGTTATAGGAGACTGATAAAGCAGACACTTTTCCAAGTTTTAAGTTTGTGCGTTTTCCCAAACTTCAGATATTCATTAAAATATTTTGCACAAATTTACAGAGCCCAGTATGGAGCCCCCATGTCGGTATATCTCCGTGGTACACCAACATGATGGCCGGAAAATAGTGTAAACATCTGGAACTTACTTTGGCTATCTAGGCCACTGATTATCTGTACTGAACAAACAAGCATTTACATATTAAGTACTTTTCCTAATACTTTAACTTCTGAATAGGCTAAAAATCACAAGATAAGTATACATTTTTTTTGACAAACGTGTTTGTAGGTATACGTCACGCACCATCATAACTCTGCAAACTACTGAGCTGAAAAGTTGTACACAGATATAAATTTAGCACCTCTCATGCCTGATGAGGATAAAAATCTTTAGTTTTTGATTTTAGAACATGATGACATCACGTGCAAACCAAGAATATAACCTAATACACTTTTCCAAATACATTGTAACCGAGACCAAGGGATCATATACAAAGTGAGCTGCCATGACTTCATGTTCATTCACCTATGTCGGGGAGCTCGAAAGCAAGCACTCATGAAGCTCACAGTGGGCTGAGCATGGTTCAGGCTGTCGACGGCAACAGCAAATATTAGCAATCAAACAACAAACATACTCTGTGGATCCCAACATCCACCCAAGAGATGTCTAGGTTTACCAACTACTACAAGAGGCTTTGGTTCAAAAGAGGGGCTATCACCAGTAACAAGTCAACTAAAGCATTTGCGTTGAAGTTATTCAATATCATTTGGATTCTATTTCAGGATCCAGAGTAAGAGGCTTATGCATTCAAAATTAAATAATATGAAAGAATATGTTCCAATGCTGCCTTGGCTTGTAAATTATCCTGCCTAACTTTTCCTTGCACATCCACTCCTCACAATCCAAAAAACACTTAATTGGTACTAATTGATCAGATGTGACTCAGACAAATTTATTGACAGATCAGGAACAGGAATTTGAATAACAAAGAAACCTTGGCAGTCATTTTTTACCCTGTCTCGCCTTGGCCCCTTCTCAATTATTTCCCTAATTTGCAGAATTTTAACTTTTGCCAATTATGCAGAGGATTTCAAGAAGTAAATTCAATTGCTCATAGTCTACAAAGAAGCGGCAAATCAGAAAAATATTCTATGCTAGAACTTAACTGTCCAGTGAATGAAATATTCAGAAATTTGTAGTAGCAGAAAAGTGTCAAAAAATGGTGAAATCAATCAATGTATTAAGTGGTGACTTACCCTGCTGAAGTCATATGAGAGAGGAATGTTTCTTGTGAAGTGCCAACCTTCCTCCACCAGGGTTTCTGTCATGCAGTAAGCTATATCATTTACAGCCTCTACTGCCTCCCAGGGGGTCATATTTGTCCTAGCTTCATCTGTAGTGAAACCCTCCCAGCGAGGCAACATGGCACAGGTTGCAATGTTCCTTCCATCAGCAGGATCCATGCTCTTTAAAAATGGCATCTTGTTGCGAAGACTTTGGAGCCAGCCAGGTGGACTAAAAATAGTGTCATCATACTGGTGCCAGATTGCTAAAGAAGGAATGCTACATGTTGACATTTTTTTCTTTAAAATGATGTACATTGAAACAGTAGTGTATATACCAGGTATACAAGTATCAGCTGATAGAAAATAATTACAGGTACATGCAACAGTGATTGGACAAGGTTGAGCAAAATATTGTGATTTGTCAGTACAGTGGTGAGCAGACTAATTATTGGCCAAAGATGAGGGCTAAGGCAGATAATTGACCTACCAGACACTGGCAAGTCATGATATTTTGTAGTAACGAGGTTCAAAAAGTTATCACTTGATTACGAAATTTGTTTTTGTACTTAAATCACTTTCTGACAGCTCAGGGAAGCCTTGTATCATTTTTCACACAAGAGTGGCAACAATGGGTCAGTTTGTAACAACACATGCTCACTCATCTTTATTTTTCTTTACCAAAGGTCTTCAGTCAGCAATCAGCAAGCACTGTACATGGCTTAACACTCACAACTAATCCAAATGAGCAGAACATTAATTTGGCATAACACATTTAGACAGTATTGTGCAGTTCCAGAAAATATCCATACTACCCCTACAGAAGACATTGGAATTTCCTGTGGGATGGGGGGCTGTATCAGACCAAAAAATGTAAAGAAATGTGTAAAGTTGCACAAGGGTGGGGAGTCTTGATATTTTCTGGAATTACACATTATGCATGAGCAGTCCATTATTTGAGCTCAGTTATATGTAGGTCATGTGGAAGGCTCTCAGCCAGTGAAAAGGAAGAGAAAAAATGCATCAAATGATAATACCTCCAGTTTGACATCTGTCTTTTGGTATTTGGAGGCATCTGTTCTTCATAGCTCCCCAGCTAACTAAGTACTCCCACAAATACTTCTCTTTTTCCCTTGAATCCTTCCTTTTTGCTTTGAATACAACATACTTGTAAGGGACTTTGCGAGAAGCAAGGGAACATGGTACCAAGAGCTTTGCTTGAACAAGGATTAACTCATTTTCCAGGTACCTAGACCCAAATAATACAGACAGTGACATTCTTTATATCTACAGAAGGGTATTTATTTATTTTTGCATGCCTATATTACCATGGAACTGCCCACTTAGTCATCAAAATTCTTGTGTCTGCAGGCTAGGCTGTTTGGCTGGGTAAACAGCATTCCCGTGTGACATGTTAGTGTGATAAACATAGACCTTACGGTAAAAATTTCAGTAAATTTATAGAAAAAGTGGAGAATCTAATGTCTAAACACTACTGGAAAAATTAAAGTTCGCAAATATCTATGAACTGAAAACTACAGATACCGGGTAAAAGGGATTACTGATCAAATAGACCACATTTGCATTCCCAGTATTCGCTTTGAACTAACTTGCAATGGAGGCTAATTCGGGGGAATATCATAAAAAAGAGATAAGTTTGTATTTAAAAAGGCTCCCGCAATTGAGACTCAGTTGCAAGCTAGTTCCAGTCCAATACTGAGAATATGTATATGGTCTATTGCAGGGAAATAGCCTCGCTAGAAAAGCTAGATTAATGTTATCACTTTTGCATATATTTGTCTCTAAAATCGGGTCGCAATTTGTGGGAACATTTAGAGACATTTGTATGAAAATTTAAAAACGCAATTCCTCACTCCACAGCATATCTATGTTCTTCAAATTTCACCTAAAAACTTGTGTTAGGTATCCTTTTCCTGTAACTCATGAAATCTTCAGAATGTTTTACATTCTCTAATTATCAGGCATCAAACTTTTACCGCTCACTGACTGTAATTTTTGCTGTGTTTGCCCCCCAAGCAAGATGGCATCAGAAACCATGAAAAAGACTCTTGCCCATCTAGTAGAATGGGCACGAGTAATTTTGTTCAGGCCCATCATGACGCACTCAGTGTGACAACCAAGGCTTTGAGCCAAGAATTCTCTTAGAGAAAAACCATCCAAAAATCTTTGGTTTGTCCGAGAGAAGCTATCAAACTTGTACCATCTGGCTGGCTGGCACTAGCAACGCATTTTGTGACATTTTTGCTTAGGCATGCTCACAAATTTTTTGATATTGGACAAGAAAGTGACCACTATAGCTATGTCACAAGGCTTTTTTTCAATTTTTTTCACCTTTCCTTTTTCTCCTTTTCTATCTTTTTGCTGCAGTTTTTGACATTCTTGTGGGCTTGCTTCTGGTCCAAGAATTCCCAAGAAAGCATAATCAAGATGGGAAATTCTTACCACAGAGTAGCTAAGTATAGTTTGGGGAAATTTTGCTCCGAGTTTTTCCCTCCAATTTCTGAACATTTCATGCATATTTCATGCTCAACTGACCCATCACTCTGGGTATCATTGGAAAGATCTCTTTTTCCTGCAGAACTTGAGTATAAGTGATGCCAATTTTGGCAAAAGGTGAAGGTGTCACAAGTGGGACAAAGGGCAATCCTTGTCACAGCCAGTTACGGCTGACAGAGGCGTCAATTGGTTAATAAATCAAGACAAAGCACTTGCCTTTTTATTAACATCATTATTTTAACAAAAAGCTTTTTTAAAATACATCATGACTGGACTTATGCAAGACCTGTGAAATTTGACCAAAATTTTGTGACATCCAGACAACTTTCTGGCTATAAAGAGTGCTAGCCTGAACTTTAGCATCATTTGCTAGCTATACCACTATTGTCTTCTAAATTGTAACTAAATAGTAAATTGTAACTCCCACCCTCCCTTCCTTTGGATGCTTGATAGTTGTTATTTTTTTAGTAAAGTGGGGTTAATCTCTCTCTATGACACTATCACTAAAGTCTTGGTTGTCATACAGTTATAATTTGTAAGCAGTTAAGTCTTGCAGTGACTTTCCCAAGCTTTGTTTTTACTTAAATTAGTGGCACTTTTTAGTGCTCCTTTTACTTTTTCTTGTCCAGCAGGTGGTGGTGGTGTCAGCTCTTAGTGCTGGGGAAATAGTAAATTTGAGCAAGTCACAACAGTATACAATCTAGCATGATGCTGACCAGAGGTTTCAGCTTGTAGTGCCATTTAGATTTAGGTTTCCAGTACACACGTGTTAGCTCTGCTGACTTGTATGATCCAGCACAGGTTTTAGTGCTGGGGAGATAAGTTAAGCTTTTAGTCAAGTAATTAATTGCTTTCATCAAGCTTTAGTGCCAACCTACCTCCTGTACTTAAACATTACTTAGTTTTACTCACCTCGATTAGTTTTTTAGTTATTCTGAGTAAACATTACCTCTTTTTTGTATTAATATATTATATTGTAAAGTTTCTGTTTTTTTTTATTTGGTAATAAAGCTTATTGTTGTTGTTGCTGTTGTTGTAATGCAAGTTTATCTGACACCCAATTGCAGAGCAGTGATCCCTGCAACATATTTTGTGGTTATTTCACTCATCTATCATAAGTAAACAAACATAACTCTCTGGGAACTGCAACATTAACATAGCCTGCATAGCAGCTGTTTCCTTTCCTTTTCCACATGGAGTGATCTTACAAGTGGGCAAGCAAGCAGGTGAGCAAAGGGGCGTGCCTGGGGTGAGCAAAGATTGGCGAGCAATGGGGAGGGGGTGAGCAAGGAGGAGGTGGTGAAGAGAAAAAGAATTGCCTACAGTTAATCCCAAACATTTTACCAAACTCTTTTCGCCCACGAACGAGAGCAATAGTGCAATTTGATTGGTCAGTAGCCCGTCAATCAAAAAGTGAAATCGGAAATTTGACATTCATGCATAATCCGACATCCTGAACACATCAAGAGCAAAATACCTATGGCCGGGTCCGAGAAAGTGCAGTTTTGTTCCCTTCACGTGCTTTTTTCGAAACGCTTGCTACACAGGCAGGACATTAATATGACAATCCTTATTGCAATGAAGTTTGATATAAGTTAAAGGTTCATAGCAGGGACGTGCATTTATTTGCTACATTTTATCCAACAGTAAGCTCTGGCCTACTGGAGAAAAGTCCAGATAGATATTCATTGTAAAAAATATTCATACTATCCCTGGTATCATCCGATCTGAACTGCCTCCAGGAGAGGCCCCAGGAGGGCACCTCTTGGCCTCACTCCTAAAGGTAGGCCTGGAAAATTTATATTTTAAGGGTATCTACACCAGCACCACCTGAGGTGTATCGCCTCCCTTCTAGTCTTGCTTTCCTGCTGCCTAAAGTAGTGTGTCATTGTCACTCATGTAATACTTTTCAGCTGGAACTCACCCAGGCACTTTTGATGCCTGGGTGAGTTGCAGCTGAAAGTATCACATTTCGTTGATTTTATTATTATCATAATAACATCAATGAAATGTAAAAAAATATATACATTTTAACAAAATAAAGTGACCATACAACTAGCCAATCACCACATTATTTAATTACTACCTTGATATAACATATAGACTGCAAGCTTACCTTTCTGGGTGCACCTCCACAACATCCTCATCGAAATCTCCAAAAGCAATTCCACCAAACCTCATGAAGATCCTGTCACCTTGACTCTTTTCAAATTTGAAATGAGGTGAAAGGACAGCATGAAAAACGATAGTCATTTTCTTTTCTTTATGTTTGCCAAAATACCCTTTGTCCTCTTTGTTTTTTTCTTCACTGTCAACAGGGCATTTTTTAGTTTTATCTTCCTTTTCTTCATCCTGAAGCTGACGATCTTCATTGTCATGTTCGTTCTCTCGAGCATCATCACCATTCTGTTGCGCAGATCCTTGATTGTTCAGAGCGTCTTGTACCTTTTTTCGCCTACCAAAAAAGACAAATGAACCATTATTTGATAATCAATAATTAATAATTACTCTATTATTCCTTTGGAACTAATAAAACTGTAAAATTTTCTTTTTTTTGGTGATACAAATTAAAACATTGTGATTTCATTGCTGTATTTCAGCGGTATTACAGCAGTTCCTCACATTAAAGTACTTGGCTGTTGAAAAGTTGCTGGGGCATAACCCAACCTAAATGGCAAAATAAACACTTTCCATCACCAAATTTGTTGCTGGCACTGTCACAATATGCATTAAATCCTTCAACAAAGTAATTCCATTGGAAACTGGGAAACGTATCCTCACAGTTGGTTTACAAATTAAACTAACTTTAATTTTACTTCTTGTAACTATGTATTCATTATAAATTGTAGACAAGAAAGAGTACAAGTAAACGTTGTTGTTGTCGTTGTTACAAAGGTAAGTCAACAACTCTAATATTAAAAGGGCCTACTGGTCCATCAGACCACTGGTTTCCATAGGATGAAAGGACTATAGATTATTTTGACTTCACCCTGAATGGGATCCCAGTCTATCCTGAAGGAATATGATAATTAAATCAAGTTTATTTCCATTTTGGTCAATACATGTCAAATTAAATTAAGACTAATATGAATGCATGGAGGAGGACTAAAGAAACCTTTAGAGGCTTTTACAATATAGTCCCCCTATGAATGACCTTAATTTACAAAATGTCTAATAAATCTGGTGTAAGGGAAAAGCAAGTAAATAAATGTAAGCCTATGTATTACATTATTTCAAATCAACATGCGAGAATTGTAACCTAGTACTAATTAAATTGCAATAGGTGAATATTATTCTGATAGTAAAAACTGTTTAATCTGTTTTTAAACACATTTGTTGAAAACGACTGTTTTATTTCATGTGGAATAGTGTTCCATATATTAATCACTTTATTTCTAGTCGAGTAAACACCCAAATTTTTCCTATTAAACTTTTTGTGTGGATTATTAGACTTCCTTGTGCGATGGTTATGACTGTGAGTATTTTCTACAAGGAAATCATCAAAATACACTGGGAGTAATTTTGACCTAAGATTGAAACAGAAAGGGTTAAGAAGAAAATTGTTAACTTGTTTAAGAGTGTGTCCACGAGAAAACCAGGCAGAACCAGGCAGGAGGTGATACAGCTCCAATCACTGATTTCGCTCAAACTTGGCACAAATGTTGGGTTTGGTGAGTGAATGATTGTGGCAAAACAGTAGATCAAAATATTTTATTCCCTTCAAGTTAGGAGAACCCCCTGCAAAAATGGCCATTTGACACTAATTTATGCATATTTAATTAGCCATATTTGGTTTGGTATTACTCCAACAAGAAAAACCATGTGAAAATGAAATCCACTGGAACATGTTGTAAAACTATCAGTCTAAACACACAGATATTCATTTCAACTGGGCAATTTGATTTCTGTCCATGGCTTCATCTTAAGTAAGGTGCATATTTTGTAGTGATGTGAATAGCCTTTAATTGATGGCAAATATCTGCACTGGGCAACAGCAAATACACATTATTCTAACATGGATAGTGAGAGCAATCAACAAAGTTCTCAAAAAAGCCATAAAATGTTTGGGGACTTCAATATTTTTTCTGTGCAGGTGTACTGTTTACATATAACTTTACGATTTATGGCCATTTCATAACATCCACTAAAACACAAAAGCCATTTCTCTGTCTCGACCTAACTCGAAATCAACAAGAAATAACTAGTTAAGCATTTTCCTATCAATTATGAGTAAAAATTTGGTGAAAAGAAGCACTTGAGACAGTTCTTTCAAATATTTTCGCAACTATATCTGCTATATCTTGAGGCATATCAATGTGAATACTGCAGCAGATGATTCAACTCACACGTTCCCTCACCTTACGCTTTTAGGTGTAAAATAGAATGGAAACAAGACAAAACTACTACATACAGGTCACTTAGATGCAATTTTGCCATCTCTTTGATTTTTGGATTTTGATGCCCTTTCAAAATGTTCAGTTTTGTGTCCATCTTCCTGTTAACTTCGACACAGGTTTTAACAGAAAAATGTCCATTACCATTCTGCTTTCATCATCAGAGATATCAACAGGTTGTCGATGAACCTACTCAAAAGGCTGTTCAACATCCAGGGAGAGCCATCACTACTACTGTAACATATAAATTACTTTCAAAAGCCATGACAAAACATGCCACAATCTTTGACGATATTGTACGGTACAATTTGTATTACCATACATGATTTACCTACTGAACCGCTTACTTTTCAATGATGGCGTCGGCTCAATGTCATCAAAAATAGCGAAGTGTTCGGCGGGTTGTTTCAATAGAGATCTGTATGTTTTATATAGCAGCAGTGATGGCTGTCTGTGGATTTTGAACAGCCTTTTGAGTAACGATGCCAACAAGTTGCAAGCATCTGTGACCATGAAAGCAAAATGGCAATGGATATTCTCTTTAAAACTTGCCAGGTCAAAGCAACTGTATACAGAAGACAATTTTGCAATCCAACAATCAAAGATCGAGAGAGCCCAAAATCGCGTCTAAGTGACATGTATGTAGTAGTTATTTCTTGTTTTCATTCCATTTTAGATCTGAAAACATAAGTTAAGGGAGCTTGTGAGTTTAATCATCTGCTGCAGTATTCACATCGATATGCCTCAAGATATAGCAGATATAGTTGCGAAAATATTTGAAAGAACTGTCTCAAGTGCTTCTTTTCACCAAATTTTTACTCGTAATTGATAGGAAAATGCTTAGCTAGTTATTTCTTGTTGATTTCGAGTTAGGTTAAGACAGAGAAACAGCTTTTGTGTTTTAGTAGATGTTCATGAAATGGCCATAAATCGTAAAGTTATATGTAAACAGTACACCTGCACAGAAAAAATATTGAAGTCCCCAAACATTTTATGGCTTTTTTGAGAACTTTGTTGATTGCTCTCACTATCCATGTTAGAATAATGTGTATTTGCTGTTGCCCAGTGCAGATATTTGCCATCAATTAAAGGCTATTCACATCACTACAAAATATGCACCTTACTTAAGATGAAGCCATGGACAGAAATCAAATTGCCCAGGTAAAATGAATATCTGTGCTTTTAGACTGATAGTTTTACAACATGTTCCAGTGGATTTCATCTTCACATGGCTTTTCTTGTTGTAGAAGTACCAAACTAAAGATGGCTAATTAAATATGCATAAATTAGTGTCAAATAGCCATTTTTGCAGGGGGTCCCCCTAACTTGAAGGGAATAAAATATTTTGATCTACTGTTTTGCCACAATCATTCACTCACCAAACCCAACATTTGTGCCAAGTTTGAGCAAAATCAGTAATTTGAGCTGTATCACCTCCTGCCTGGTTTTCTCATGGACACACTCTTAATGTCTATTCAGTTTTTAAAAAAGTGAACCAGAGGGAGCTTTATATGACGGAAATTGCAATGTCTTCTTTTGGAGTTTTAGTAAGGCCCAGTCCAAACGCCACTCCACTCATGTGCTGAACCAAACTTGATTAAGTTCGACTTTAGAGTGACTTTGGAGCAACGGCTGGTTCAGACGGTGTACTTGCATTGAACTTAATTCGGGAAACTGGTGGTAACAATTTTCGACGAGAAAATATGCGTTCTGAATTCAAGAACTCTGTCCAAATAAAAAAGCTGAGTAACATTTCATTGTTAAGGCAATATTTAGGGAAGCAAATATAAACTCAAGGTTCAGTGTTTGTATTTAGACAGGTTTTCTCCTGGTTAATTCGACTTGTCAAAGGGAAATCTCATAAGCTGGGCTATTATTACGAATAAAAAGCAAAATATGAATTTGTGCTAAAGAAACTCGCTTATACAGTCCTGTCTCTCATAAATCAAAGGCATATTTTGTTGTCTTTATTTTTAGCAATGACTTCGAGCTTCATGCATGTCTGGTCACGCCATTCAATTTTGAGCCAATCACGAGTCCCGTCATCTGTTAACTACATCACAGTAATTTATGCATTAGGTTCGACACATGAGGAGAACCCCATATGAATCAGCTACCGCTCCAACGTTGCATAGTGTGACAGGCCTGCTGAATTTAATGTTGTTTGCTGTACCAAACCTAACCTGCCAAACCAAACTGATTCAAACGACGCTCTTCTGCCGTACTTAACTCATCAGTTAGGTTCAGCGCATCAATGGAGCAGCGTTTGGAATGGGCCTAAGTTGTCAAGTTTTGTGAGATAATTGTTTGCCCCCAAAATATTACCACAATGGAGATATGGATAAACCTTGAACTATTATGTCAAATTTTCAGAAGTAATTGATTGACATATATACAAGCAAAATCTATGGGGAATACCTAAAGTTTTAGACATTTTTGTTGCAATATATTCAATATGACTTTTCCATGTTAAGTGATAGTCAATAATTATTCCAAGGAACTTCACTTTTTGATTTCCTGGTTGCTTAATTTAATTGTCAAATTTGTTATTAAATTGTTCTAGTGAGATTTCAATACGATAAATTTGCATTTTTTGACATTAGGTGTCAGCTGATTTAGTCGAAGCCATTCTTGAACATGGGGATAGCTCATCATAACCATAGATTCTACTTTTTTAATATCTCTCAGGCAGGGTAGAAACTTGTCTGACTGCAAGTAATGTGTGACTGCATTGCTACCCTGCAAGACAGAGGAGCCTTTCTCTTTCTTCTTAGTGAGACACAACTGAGGAAACCTCTGCTCATAACCACTTAATCATGATTTTGTTCAGTGTCAGTCCATAATCAGGGACAAATAAATAAACATAGGCAGGCAAGACGTGCAAGAGTTATTTTTTTGGTGAATAGAGCCCCTGGATGTAGCAGCACTCAGTGGACTCTTCTTAACAGTTATGATAAGGTTAATCCAACAAGTTTGTTTGATTACAATGTAGAGCGAAAAAGAACATTTAGAATTTATTTCACCTTAGTACGTGATATCTAGCCTACTTTTATCAAGGTTTGATTTTAACAGTCAATAAGTGGCTTTATTTATTAGAACTACATGGAGCTGTTACCAGCAAGGCAGCTAAACATCATGCAGTCTGCAATGGCAGCTAACAGTAACCCACAGATTGGTGTTGATTCTTTATTTATTTATTTATTAAGCTTCGGCCTTCTATTACATATAAAGAAAAAGGAAAAGAAGAGGAAACAAAAAAAACAAAAAAAACAAAATAAAAAAACAAAACAAAAAACAAAAACAAAAACAAAAACAAAAACAGACAGCAAAACAAAACAAAATGGCCAGGGGAGCCGCTACAGCTTAGCCAATTACAGCGGCCCCCTTAGATATAATTAAGAGACAAAATTATACAATATATATAAATCTAAATCTAGTGTAGGGAGCTTAAAAGCAGCAATGTAGTGGGCGCGTTAAGGTCTTAGCGGTATTACACTTTGGGCAAATTGTCCGCCACGTCCTTATATCTTCTTGATCAAAAATATCTAAAGCATTTGTATAATATTTTAGTAAGGATCTCTTAAAAGCAAGGGGTGTTTGATTGTGTTCCTTAAGACTTTCAGGCAAAACGTTTCAGATTCTAGTACATCGGACAAAAGACGAGCATTGATAGGAAAGAGTACGGCATTTCTTAGGTATATGAGTGACAGAGCTATTTCTAGAATATCTTGTTATTCTGACCGGTTGCCTAGCAACCGGTAGAGCATCACTATTTACATATATTAAATTATTTACAGGTTTATAAAAAAAACAATGTCCAAATACTCGTGCCAGAAGGATAGTGGAATTAAGTTGGTCATCAGAAGCCTGGTCTTGTATGAAATGTCACAGCGAAAAGGGAGCCTCAGGATGTACTTTGTTACGCGTCGCTGGACAGCTTCCACTTGCTTCAGCAGGCCTACTGCCTGGNTTTAAGTCCGTGGTTTTCATTGTCAGACAAACACGGGTCCTTGCGTATTTTCCCCTTGCTACTTCTTCGAAATGCCGTTCTTTATTTTCAACTTGTTTTCCTCGCTGCCTTTCGCTGCCGACAAACAACGCCATGCTTGAATCTTCATTCCCCGCAAGTAAAAACTCACGTATATTCCTTCAACTGATTGGTATCTGCCGCCATCTTCGCGGCAAATGAAAAGCACATGGTGTTGAAGTGCGCCTGCGATCCCAGTTTCGGAAGAAGCTGCTGAAACAATATGGTGCGCCGTGAACGCAGTATCGACGTGTCGAAATACATTCAATTTTGTCGATTATCTTGTAATATTCAGACATTATTTTACTGGGGACGGAAAGGTGAGTTGTATACTAGCTACCATATCCGATCGATTTCCTAATATAAAGATTTAAAAATAAAGTTGTGTCGTGGTTTTCTTTAGTTATCAGACAAAACGTGAGTCACCAGTGCTCAATTTTTGGTCGCATTGGCGACCAGTGAGTCACAATTTCGAGCCCTGAGCAAACAAACTAAAACAAAGATCTATAAAAAGCATAAAATGTGCTAAAAATACAAAAATATAAGATGGCTAATGTAACTAACATTTACAAAAATTGTAAGTCATATAATTATTATAAGTGATAATCCTCCATTGAAAATAGCAAATTCAAAACACGTAACTTGAAGAACATAAGGATTAGACAAACATTCATGGTAGACATGACTCTACATTTCAACTACCTGAAAGTTAAGCCCCCCCCCCCCCCCCCAATCCCCCAACCCTTTGTAGGTAAGGAAAAAAAAGCATGCTAAATCCCCAAGTAACCATTAGTAACAAGGGTCATTACTTCCAGAACATTAAAATACTACATATTTGCACGTTTGAACTTTTGAATGAATACAATCTCACACAACCACATTTTGGCAAAGGACCAAGGCATCCTGACTACCAACTGATAAATCAGGTTATAGCTAATTACAAGCATGTTAAACAATAAATAATGCATACATATAGAGACAATTACATTTAGCTCTACCTGTAGGCTGATACTCAGTGTTGGATGTTTGCTCTGACATAGGGTCTGATGCCTTGGTGTGTTCAGTAGTTGGTACTAATTCTGATGGCGTACCAGGAACTGTATTCTGCTGCACTTCAAGTACATCATTTGCCAGTTGAAGGTTCTGTAAAGCATTTGCTACCACCTCATCAACTCCACCAGGAATTGAATCATCTTCATTTCCAGCAGACTTCCGTTTTGCTGGTTTTCGTTCTAGTTCACCTTCATCCTTTCTTTTCCTTTGTACTCCATCTGTTGAAAGTAAAGCAGTAACCAAACCAGTTAACAGGTTTATAATCATAAAAAAATAAATGAAAGACAGATGAGACACTCCAGCTACTCTGTAAGTATAATTGTCACACAATTAATTGGTTCTCAGAAAAAATATAATCAAATCTATTTAGTACTACTGGTACATTCTTCTCTTTTAAATACAAGAATGCATAATTTACACCTAAGGCCATTATGATGGAAATCTGGGAATTTCACAGAAGGTCAGGAACTATCAGTTCAAAATATATCCCATCTTGCCAGGACCCCACCAGTAATGTACGTTTCTGCCATGACCTAGCCTTCCTCAATCCAGCTGGGAATCCCAGTTTTCAATGGAATTCTCCTGGGGAAAATAATGTGTTCAACTCTGGCTAAACTTCTCTGTGATTCTGATGATGATAAGGTTTTGCACTTAGTACACAGTACGCTAAGAGATATATTCACTATGCTCTATATGAAGACAATCCTAAGGAATTATGTTAAATAATGTGAAATTCCCTCTGTGATGAGGATATCAATATTTTTTGGAAATACATATTTCGCTTTCCTGAGATAATTATTAATACAAGATGGTATATCTAAGATGGCACATGTTATGATGTCAAAACCAACAAAAATGTCTTGTGTTGTAGAACAAGTTGAGGGCTTTCCAAACAATCCCCCACCCCTTTAACTTGTAACACAGACAGACACGTATTTACTTGACATCTCCAGCTTAACCTTTCTGTAAAGTGTGTACATACAAAAACATTGTTTATTTTTTAATTTTCCTTTTTTTTTTACATTGAAGCAAATTTTGGCCGCCTATACTTTCCTTCTCTGCTACAATTATCAGAATAATGCACCAGTCAAGGTTCCTGCTTCCTTCCCCCCGGGACCCCTTCCCCCAGAACCCTGATTAGCGCCGTGCAATTAGCAAGTCACTTAAACTTAAAATACAATGACTGCTGCACAAATCCCCTTTACCTGTAAGAAACAAAAGGAGATAATTATTACCGAAGAATAAGATTAATATGTTGAAGGCGATTAAAACTATGATACCGCTATGAAGCCACCCGCAACCAAACAAACTCCCGTCATTGATCAGAAACCGAAAGTAGTGAATCGATCCTTCGACGGATTCCGAAACAATTTAATTCTTTCTTCTCGAAACTATTTTAGTTCAATAACAACTGGTCCAACTGGTATCAACTTTATATTCACCAATCTTACCAAGTGAAACGTCTGTGTCTTCCTGAACATCAGAGTCTTCTACATTCGTTGGGGGTGTCTTGTTGTTGTCGTCAACTGACGGTGAACATGGTGAACTCGGTTCTTCTGTTACCTTCAATATTTTGCAGCCACATTGAAAGCAGAAAGCGTGGTCTTCTCCGAGAAAAGTGTTTTTACACTCTGGATTTGGACACTTCATTTTCGGTGTCTCAGGACGATGTTTGAGATACTAAAAAAGCCGAATTAAGAGACTGTTTGCAGCCCCGCGCAGCCCCGCTCTCCATCTTTAGCGAGCTTTACATGCGTGTTCTCCGAAAGGCGGAAGTGATTCCTGGAAACGAAATCGCCTCGGGATTCTGTCGTCAAAGGGAAGGGATAAGGGTGGGGTGAGAGGGGACGGTTAGTGTTTTTGTTCTAAAGAATAGTCACGTCGACAAAAAGTGCAATGACTGCAATGTCTTTATAGTCTGAAACCAGGTCTGAAACTTTATTCCGTCTTCACTCTCTGCCAAAAATTAACACCGAATTATCATTTAAAAAAGCAGATTACAAAGAATAGACCAAAGTCCTGATGTGATCATCAGTTTTACGCTTATACTTTGCCCGCAGAGCAAGCTTTTCCGTGGTTTTTGGAAAGTGCCAGTCAAATGCGCGTGAGGAGAAAAGCGAAAAATATAGCGTGTACGGCGCACAGAGTTGCATTGTGGTGTGAGTGTTGCAATGTTTTGCGCTGAAAAAATGCATACATTTGGTATATGTTCCACTGCTGTAGAACATATACCAAAATGATCTGTATACCAAAATGATCTGTTCTACGCTGGTGTAAAATCTCAACTGTCTGCTTATGCGGATGACCACCAGCTATATTCTTCCAACAAGGAATTACGAACAGCCATAGATGAAGTTGAGAAAGATGGGGCAAAGACATCAAGCTGGTACAAGTCAAACTTCCTGGAGGGCAACTACAGCAAATACCAAGCGATGATAATAGCGAGAGATACTCAACAGACGGAGCTAGTAATTAACAACAGTAAAATTGATATCACCGATGNAGAAACCAAGATCGATTCTTCCTGCATGGATACGCAGTTTAGTCTACCAAACTATTGCATATATCGTCAGGACAGAGCGAAGGGTGGAGGAGGAGTGCTCACTTTCATAGCAACACAAATACCATCTAAAAAACTTAAGCCACCAAGGGTATTTAAGTCTATAGAGGTGTTGGCCATCAAGTTGGAGCTAAATAACACTAATACAATTTTACTGGGAATGTATAGACCACCACATTGCAGAGGTGCCAACTACTATTCAGTATTGGAAGAAGAGCTGAACGATTGTCTTTCCTGGGCCACAATACAATGCTCCACAGTCATCATCATGGGTGACCTAAATCTAGACAAGCTAAAAGTAAATGAAAGAGACGCAAAGCTGCTAAAAGACCTAGAGGAAGTTTTTGAATTAACATGCTTAATCACAGAGCCAACACGGATTACAGCCTCTTCGCAGACTCTTTTAGACGTCATTTTAACAAACCAACCAGATCTCTTCAAAACTGCTGGAGTCATTAACATCGGCTTGAGCGATCACTGCATGGTATATGGCTTCCTCAAGGAAGCTGTTAAAGAACATTCAGCTGCCGTCATAAATTGCAGAAGTATCAAGAATCTAGACATAAATGAATTTACAAGGGATTTAACAGATGCAGTATGGATCAAACAACACTCAACTAGTGTTGGTGAGCAGTATGATAACTGGTACACTGAATTGATGAGAATCGTTGATAAACACCTACCTCTGAAGAGAATAAAAGTCTGAAAAAGAGACAAGTGAATGGAAAAAAGCGATACGGAAAAAAAGGATGTACACAAAGAAATTCAGCAAAAACAAAACCAAAGAAAACCTAGAGCTGATGAAAACATGGCGTAATAGAGCAACATTACTAAGAAGGAGGGCGATAAAGGAATATTGGAACGCAATTTCCATAGATATGAACAACAATCCCAGGAAGTTCTACAACACCTTTACCCCATTTCTGAATTCAAAGACAAAGGATAACAGTGCAATTTCCCTTAATATCCGAGGAGTGATACAGCAAGATCAGGGGCTTGTAGCACAAGAATTTACAAACTACTTTTGTTCTATATGCATTTAAGCTGTTGGGCGTGATAATTGACAAGGATCTTAACTTTCCGGAACATATATCGCAGGTTTGCTTGAAGACTAGCAAAATGATTGGCGTCCTACGAAGGCTGAAATATCTCATCCCTATACATGCAAAATTACGGATCTATAAGACTGCAGTCTTACCTCATCTAACATGCTGTAGCTTGGTGTGGCATTTCTGCCATGCAAGCGACACAAGGAAACTGGAGAGGATCAATGAGAGAGGACTCCATACAGTATTCTGCGATTGGGTCTCCTCCTATAGTGACCTAATACGCGCGGGGATGACAAGCTTGTACAACAAACGATTGCAAGAGATCGGAATTTTCATGTTTAAAGTGAAACATAGATTACTGCCTAGCAACGTACTAGAGCTTTTTCCTAGATCACCCTCGAGCTACAGCTTAAGGAACTCAGATTTTTACATACCAAGAGTAAGAACTGTTAAGTACGGGAAACATTCCCTTCGCTTCCTTGGGCCATTGATGTGGTCGAAGTTAGACAATAGGGACAAGAAAGAAATGTCTTTGCAGCGATTTAAGGCGAACATCAGGGGAAGGGACCTCAGTGGACTTGTCGGAGGCGACACATGCAAAGGGTATCACCTTTGCAACTCTTGAGCCGTAAACACTAGTTATAAGTATTATAAATATAGGTTCGATATTCCATATTCTAAAGTAGTATCTTAACTGTAGGAATTAGATGTAAATACAAAGAGTGTGCGAAAATGTAGTATAATTTAATGTAAATAGACAGGAATCGTTTTTATATCGTTTTTAAGCTTAAGGCTAGCTAGAAGACTAGACACTAAAATAAAGTTATTATTATTATTATTATTATTATTATTATTATTATTATTATTATTATTATTATTATTATTGTAGAGTCACCTTGTGGATCAAAAAGCACTGGTGACTAGCCTAGTTTGTTTTCATTGGTCTTGGAAGCTGTCAAGTGGCAGTCAATTTCTTTTGTGAAAATTAGTTTCTTTATAAGGGTAGAAATGATCTTATGATTTCACAAACTTAAGAATTTCTTATTCATGTTTATCTCCATCCATTTCTATGTAATTTTGCTGTAAAATTGATTTTCCTCGCGGGTGTTTTAATGATTGTGTTCACTATAAAAGTTTGGTGTCAGTTTCATCCACACTCATCTTATCAGTCCTTCAACCGAAATTGTACCACATTTACAAAAGGACTTAGTGATCTAGGAAGGTAATTTGACAAGTTACCATTTCATTAACCGCATGGCCTTGGGCTGAGTGCAGTTCATGTTCTACCCTTGGTTTATTATTTTTATTTTTGTCAGTGACCAGACCCAAACTTCCTCCTGGCCAAATTTTGAATAACACAACCTGTGATGTTTATTCACCAAAAGCTGGTGAAACATTAATACAGGGACAATGTTACGGATATTGTTTTCTTTATTTGTGTGTAAAATATATTTTCTTTTGGTTTTATCAAAGCATTAGATTCAAAGGGAATCATAAATACGCTAAAAAAGGTATTACAAATGTGCTGACGTTGCAGCTTTCACTTTCGCTATGTGACAAATAAGATTGTGTTTACTTTGCAAGTTTATTTCTCCAGAAGCAACGTTCATTAATTTATTTGCAATTCTACGAACATTTCTTGTGGGTTTAGCCGGCAAATGAAGTGAATTCTTTGGCTAGCGTCAAAGTTTGGAAAGCAAGAACTGGTTTTAGACTTATAAAATTTGTCTTGTATCGACCGCCATNCAATGTCCAAATACTCGTGCCAGAAGGATAGTGGAATTAAGTTGGTCATCAGAAGCCTGGTCTTGTATGAAATGTCACAGCGAAAAGGGAGCCTCAGGATGTACTTTGTTACGCGTCGCTGGACAGCTTCCACTTGCTTCAGCAGGCCTACTGCCTGGGAAGACCATACTTGGGAGGCGTAGCCAAGTTGGCCACGGACAATAGACAGGAACAATGTTTGGCGTGTCCTCATAGATTGTATACTCTTCGACACCTGCCGGACAAAGCCAAGAAGCTTATTTGCTTTGGTGCATTGCTCATAGATTTGCTTGTCCCAGGAAAGGTCACTCGAGACCCACACACCAAGATCCTTTTCAGATTCACAGGTTTCTAAGACTGTGCCATTGATTGAATACTGAAATGCCTGTGGACTTTTCTTTCTAGCTATTCGCTGGCATTTACACTTTTTCTGGTTGAATAAAAGACCGGATGATTCGGACCAGTCAACCAGCCTGTTGAGATCTGCTTGCAATGCAGCACAGTCAGTGGCAGAGTTGATCGTTCTAAGAACTTCAGTGTCATCTGCATAGCATAGAAGACGAAACAGTGTCAGGGAGGTCGTCAACAAATAGCAAGAACAGCATTGGGCCTAGCAAGGACCCTTGAGGTACACCAGAAGTGACTGATAGCTGTTCAGATGTGGTGCCGAGGACTGTCACACATTGTTTGCGATCATGTAAGTATGATTTGAACCAATTGCGTAGTGAGCTGGCGATTTCAAATTGGCAAAGCTTATCAAGCAATTTGGGATGATCAACTTTGTCAAACGCCTTACTCATATTGAGATAAATAACGTCCGTCTGCCTCCCAGTGTCGAGCTGCGCCCCTATGTAGTCAAGAACGCTGGTTAGTTGAGTAACGCAGGACCTGCCAGCTAAGAAGCCATGTTGGAAGAGGCTTATCTTGTGATGTAAGTGATCTTTCAGTCCCGCTAATACACAGCGCTCAAGTACCTTTGAGATAACAGGGAGAAGGGAGATTGGGCGATAGTTCTCAACGAGCTCACGTTTCCCTGTCTTGAAGATTGGGACCAAGTTTGCGAGCTTCCAGTCTGAAGGAACCACTCCTAGCCGCAAGGATTTGTTGAACAGCTTCGTGAGAGATGGTGCGATCTGTTCAGCG